GGAGTTTAAACAATCTTTTACTGAAAGTTACAAGAATGTAAATGGGTATTGATAAAACATATCAGGTCATTAATAGTTTAAACATTAAACATTTTTGGAAGGTATATTCCTATCCAACCTGACAAAGCAAGGTCTACTCTCTGAAAGTGATTGAGTTATGAAGGTTTCTTGTTTTGTGGCCTATTAATCTTTTCACCCTACTGTTTTTTTTACTATTATGATAGTTTTTACATATTTATTGAAAACAGTAATACAAAGGATCCTGGAAGCAGTTATAACTTCAAGAAAACATATCTTGAGAAGTACACACCTACAACTTTGCTACAGTCACTACTTAAGTTTGGGTATACAAATTTAATCCACATTTTATTTTTTCACTTATCAAAATGTAGTATAAAACACGCATAAAAATAAATGATGATGATTACTACCAACCTAAATCTAAACTTAAGTACCAAAAAAGTTTATTAACTGCTTTATAGATCAATTCAGAATAAGCATACAGGTAGCTTATTGATTTTTGCTGTTTTACAAACAACATGAGATATCAAACATACTGTTGGTGATTAAAGTCTCTATGCAAACCTGTTTCTATTTCTTGCAGTATTTAACACTTAACATCTTCATTAGTTTGATCTGATGATTTTTCAACTCACACATCATAGAGCCACCACTTTATTGGATATCTGATACTCCTACATATCTTAAATTAATAAGTATAACCTGGAAGGAAAATTTTATCAAACCTTTTGATAAGAAAAGTCTTTGAAGGTCATGGTTAGCAAACAGATCATTTGGTAAAATGAATTTAGAATGAATCACCTACTGGAAGGTTTCTGTGTTGGAGATGATGGTTCCATACACTTTAGTGAATCTTCTTTGGATCTGTGGTTTTAGAGACTTTAATGTTTCTCTATTGTAGGATGTCCAGATAGAGAGCTCTTGCTTACCATTTTCTTAATTGATTGAGTGGAGCTGATTTCTGATTAGTTGGTTGGTTTTGAGGATTTTAATCCATAGGCTGTTGATTTCTGTTATTCTGAGTGTCATGGTTTTGATTCTGATGAGTTGAGCTTCATTTATTTTTTCTGTTATGGACACTGGTCATAACATAGATTGATACAAAACATGTATATAGTCAGTAGATATTGAGTTACTGCCATCTAGAAGTTTACTTTCTGAATTAATAGTTGTTAAGCTCTAAATAATGTTTGTTCAAAATAGGGAGATAGTGTATTAACTACTGGTTTCAGACAGGATAACCATAAGATGATTTAAATATCAAATATCATTGTTAAAAATTTCTTTAAAACTTGGATTCCAGCATTTTGTTTGACAAAGTTACCTCACCCTTTGAGTGGTAACTTCAGTAAATGAGATTAATTTTTTGTTGTTGTCAGTTTTCTTCAGACAGTCTTTGTACAGATTGACACCTGATTATATTCAAACTGACAGTTTATACAGGCTGCCCACTGACTATCTTGATAAAGACTTCTCTCAGACACCAGTTAGTTTTATGCACTTCTGTAGTAAGAGAAATTTTAGATTATAATAAAAGAAACTATAAAAATTATTTAATGAAATATGATATCATAAAATAGGAAAAATGTATTCACAAAAGGGAAATCTTGTTTTACTAATCTGTTTTCTTATTTCTCGTGAGGATGTTACTTGTTATGTGAACAGTGAAAAGGGTGTGGACTTGGTGTACTTAGATTTTCAAACATTTTTGGTTGGGTGCCACACACAAAATTAGCTAAAGAAAAATCACATATGTAAGAGTTGGAGAAAGACTAGTTACCTAGATTGTAGGGTGGTTGAATGGGAGAATGTAAGAGGTTGTTATTATTGGAATTCAGTCAAACTGGACCTTTCTTACTAGTGGAGTACCTCAGGGGTCAGTGGTTGGGTCTTTGCTTTTTTATTTAATGATATTGAAAGGATAATAATCGGTAAATTAGTAAAGCTTATTAATGCCTTTATACTCTTCAATAATTGCAGGTATACTGAGATGCTTAGGTATTACAGAATGACTAAGATTAATTGGTCAGTTAGACAAATATTTGGCATATTACCTTTAATTATAGTAAGTGTAGGTACTACATCTGGGTTATCATAATTTGGATCATACATTTAATATAGATGGGAAACCACTCCACAATGTGACTAAAGAAAAGAAGCTCTGAACAGTGGTGGATAAGACACTCAAGCCATTGAAGCAGTGGAGCTCTGTTGCTAGTAGTAAAGCTATTAAAATTGTAGGATGTATTTATAAACATACTGATTACAATTAAGTCAAAAAAGATAATTCTCTCTCTATCAAAATCACCTGTTAGGCTTCACTTGGAATTGTCTTTACAGTTGTCATTACCTGAGAAAGGATACTGACTTACTGGAGAATTACTAGGATGTTTCTGTATATAGAAGGATTATCTTATAGGGATAGGCTGAGATATCTTTAACTTATTTTCTCTCAAGAAAAGAATATTAAGAAGTGATCTTTATGAAGTTTACAGAATTATATGGGATTCGATAGGATAAAGGCCTCCAATATTGTTTTTGCTGTACTTTGAAGATAATAAGGTAAGAGGACACAAGTTTAAGAACTGTTAAAGGTGGGCTAGGCTTCAGTTAAAGACAGTTTTAGTTTTCTAAAAGAGTGATTGATTTATGGAATGATTTGCTGTTGATAGTAGTGGTTGAGGCTAGCACTATACAGGAGTTTAAAAATTGAATGGATGATTTCTTGAAAAATAAAAGTGGTTTAAAATTTACTTTACTCAAAGGTTGGTGTGCAAGGATAGCCTTTAAGGACCAAATAGTTCCTTAATGTTGCCTGTATGTTATGAACCTATCCCTAACATTTCTAAGTATTTAAGTATCTTTTTTTACTAAATTACTCTTATCTTGTCTCTCCAAAGAACTCAGCCTATGATGAATGGGTTAACTCAAACAACAATTCATAATGATATCTTGTCTCTCAACCTATGATGAATGGGTTAACTCACATATCTAATCATGATATCTTGTCTCTCCAAAGTTCTCAACCTATAATGAATGCAAGCTATATTTTTCTTATGTTCTTTAAAAGAAAATTACAACTTCCAGACTTTTGCAATTTATCTATTCAACTTTCGCTAACACTGACATCATCTAATTTACTAAAAGTCAAAACCTTAATTTTTTTAGTTTTAATGAATTAAAAAGTGATGTTTATGTTTTTCAGCTTACTAAATACCTGTAAACAACCTACAAAACAAAACATAATCTTGCTTAAAATCCAAATTAAATATATTTCCCTTCAATTTTTCTAATATTTCAATAGTTATTTATTTCTACCGATAGTTTTATTTTAAAAAACCATTGCAAACTAAAATTAGAATTTGTTGTTTTTTTTTTTCATTTCTGTTAAATGTACTTGTAGCTAAAAGACAAATTTATTTAACTTTTCTGTTTAAGTGGTGATAAGTGTTTAATGATTAACTAATCATTAAATTCCAAAAATCAAAAAGGTTTTCTTTTTATAATTTTAATATTCTTTATAAAAGATAAAAATTTATATGAGTCATGTTTAGAACTACATTTATATAAAAAGAATAAGATATTATGTAAGTATTTTCCACATGAATACTCACAGTGAATCGAGCTCGTTGTTCCATGACTTCGTATCCAATGATTGGTGCATGGTAGTCATGCTGTACAGTTTCAGATAAGATATCTGTCTCAGCTTCCAGTCCAATTTCTTCAAAAATGTCTTCTGAAACAACACTTCTAGATGAAATTGTGCGCGAGTGACTTGGCTCTGAATCTTCCTCAGTGCTCTCTTCAACCACAACCACACAGTGCTGTAAACCATCTTGTTCAGGTGTACCAGTCACACCATTAGACAAGCAAGAATGCTCAGAATGATGTTTTCCAATAATATTCTTTGATTTATTTAATGACTTTTTGTGTTTACAGCTTGAACTTTCTGAACAACAGATAACGTTTGTTCCTCTTAAAGAATCTCCATCTTGTTTAGGCATTGCTTATCTACACAGTTGTCTTCTGAATGAATTTGCATATCACTAATCAAAGTAGAATACTGTTGGAGCAAAACAGGAATTTTTATTACAATAAAATACTAAAACTTAGATTTTTTTTAAAAATGTTACCCCCAAATAAAAAAATTGAACATTTACACAATTTTATAATAATTGAATACCCTTTTTCCATGAAATTTTTCGTTTTCTGTATACATTGTATGTATAGGAATATCTCCAAAGTATTAATTTATTTACACAGCCTGATGTATTGAAACTTCCTTTTGTAACACAGCCAAACTGAAGTACTTTACTGATGAGATTAGTTGGAAATAGGTAGGGTACAGAATGCATAAAAATATAGGAAAAAATAGTTATCCATACAATTTGCTTTCATGCCGGTAAATAATTAATCAACTTATTAGCCTTATAATAAGAAAAATCTTAAACTGTCTTCTTTCCTAGTTTGATGATATAAGAACAACTTGTGATTTAAAATTTTTCTCACAAGAGACAGGTTTCAAATAAGTGAGTTACTTAAGATAATAATTAGTACCTGCTGGCTATCTGTCACATGTCTGAATCCTTATAAAAGTTTGTGGTTAGCCACTTTTACTGGAGATAAGAAATTTAAAAATCAACATATGTAGAGTTCACTTGACTTTTTCTGTTAAATGATACATAAAGTCTGTACCACTTTGATAACATTTAAAAAGTCGTTCCTGACTACAGATTGGTAGAAGTTTAACCAGTTCTGAGTTTAAACTAAAAACCTGCTTAACAACTTTCTCCAACAATGTTCCAACATACTCAGGTAAAACACTTACACAGAAATATTAAACTTAAAGACTATTATTTTCTCTAACATTAACACATGAAGCAAAATGTCTAAATAATATTTCCCAATGTAACTGTTAGATAACCTCATCAATCACAAATAATACAGAAAACTTTAATAATAATATTCAGAACTAACCTTTAATAAACAAACTGTTAAACTTTGGTTTAATAGTTTAAATAATGTCAAGTTTCTGTGTCCCAATGGTCAACTTTTTTGTTAGCTGTTGTTACTTAATTATTTTATTAATGTTGTATAACTTCATGTTATTTACCGCCTCATTTCTTATTTATGCCTAAATCATATTAACATTTATATAAGAAATGTAACCACAATGATACTGCCTACCAATTCATTACATTATCATAATAATTATGGCATAACGAAATACACAACACAGCCATAACTCAGCTAAGTAAAACTTCGTGGAATTATTTAAATCTCAACTTGTTAAAAATTACGACATTCTAACAAGTGACTAATACCTTGAACGTTTACCCAACTCACGCTGAGATAAACAAAACACTTAACATACAATTTAACTAACAGGAAAGTAAGAGCACTTTCACTCTTCTATTCATCCTTTCCTTGCTTGAGTAGACTATACTATAGAGATTAGCTTAGAAACTTGATACGTCACGTGATCTGTCACTGATGAAAGTTTACACAGCCTTTTCTTCCAACAACAGACATAAAAAGAGTCTAAGGAACACAAATAATACCTGAATCATGGTAGTAAGCAATAAAACTAAGACATTAAAAATAGATAAAACACCAGGTTCAAACAATGTTGTTCAAGGGTTAAAATTAAACTAAAAGTCAGAGATCAAATAAACGAGTTTCTCTCTGTTACTTTTAAAGTTTTAATAGGTCAACAGAATACGGGCAGATTCTTGAGTATCGGACGGTTGCTGAGCTTGCTATAGTACTATTATTTTTAAACGGCCAAAATGATAAGAGTTAGTCTCACTACTGTAGTTGGAAAAAGCTGAGATTCTGATAAAAGAAGCTTCACAAAATCATTTAGTGAAATACGATATCATAAGTACAACCTAACCAACATGTATTCGCCAAAGCAGTGATATGCACAGGGGGGGGGGGAGTTCATGTCCCTACCCTTGTGTCCCCAAAGTGTCCTTTTTCGTAGTCACACAAAACTTCTCAACAACTATTAAAATACATGCTTGATTTCATACCTTACTTACGTTATGGTGCTTGAAAATGTGCTTTTTTGTCGAAGAACATATGTTATAAATATATATATAATATACATTCCTAGCAATTTGTAAAAAGTAAAAGATATAGATGTCTCTGTAGTTAACGTGCTTCTATCACAAATTTTAATTCTTACTAATTGTATTTTTTTTTCGAAGTAGTTATTTGATATCTAGAAGATAAAAAACTGTGTGTACTTTTTTACTGATATCTTCAAAAGTTTTAATAGTGCCAGACAAAATAGCTAAGTAGATCACGTAGGTAACTATTGGTTGTGAAAAAAAAATAGCTAATTGAACTGAAGAATGGTTGAATGGAAGAAAGAAAAAAGGTTTGTATTGTGGTTTTCTCAGCTATACCGATTTTCATTAAAATAATCGGGTATGAACCGCAGGATAACTGGAGGATTGCCAGGAAATGTATTGTGGAACAGTAGTCTCACCCAGTCTGTCTTTAATTGATTGAATGAGTTTGCCACAAAGAAGAATCTGGACACAAACTTGCACACAGTAAAACAATCTTCATTTATAACAAAGAACAATCACAGTGAAAAACAAATTATCGTTATAAGCCTTTACTGGAGAAAGAGGTATATAATGTTAAGTTAGGTTAAACTCAGAAGAATTCAAATTAAGTTGTAGCATTATAACTTGTTATATTTTTGGTTTTATTTTTATCTTTTAGTAAAAATATGCGAAATCCAGTTAATGTAAAAATAATGAATTAGATTATTTCTTCAATAATTTTTGCTATGTACTATGTTCACTGGTGGCTCTAACTTCATAAACATTTAAACATAAATTCCCAAAGTAATATTACATATGCTTAACTTTCTTACAAGCTTTCGCCCCCCCCCCAGTGGCACAGCGGTATGTCTGCGGACTTACAGCGCTAGAAACCGGGTTTCGATACCAGTGGTGGGCAGAGCACAGTAAGTCCTTGTGTAGCTTTGTGCATAATTAAAAACAAACTTACAAGCTTTCTTGCAAAATGTCCTCACTAATCAATCAATAAAAAACATGTTGACTGACTCACTGTCCAGCATACTAAATGAATCACAGAAGAATGGATTTATAAGTTAACTGCTAGTGTTTAACTCACTAAATGACACTGAACTGAATATTTTCATATTATGGAGTCATTCTACGTTTTCCACCCTTTAATTAAAAAGTAAATTCTTAAAATTATGTTGTTTTTCATAGTTCCCCAATTCAATACAGGGGTATTTACATGAGTTAGCAACTTTAATTTTACTTACGTGGATAATGGAAGCCCAGGTGAGGGCCAAAGCTACTTGTCCAGTTAAATATTTTTTTTATCTAACTGATTTTAATTAGGGTGCTGAGTTATTATTCTCAGTGAATCAGGTAACAGTTACTTCACTGCCCATTGACCAGCTGATTTTTGTGTGTGTCTTAGAAACTCGAGGGTTTATTGACTTATTTAAGACAGTGTTGTTGCGTATCTGGTTGTTTGTTAATTTCCCGAAAAAAGCATTCTAAAATGAAGCATTCTACATCAACCTGACCGATAATACATTCAGCCAACTTAGCATAGAAAAAAGTAAAACTAAAACAAAGCTTGATGCCCTTCTTGAAAACATTCTGATAAGCTAGTTGATAGAGAAGACCTCAGACGAATGTATATCACACCAGCCTCTGTATTAAGATGATACAAATTCTGGTTACTACCGCCTCAGAAAATCCTTCCTTAGGACTTTTCTAAAGATGGCAACAGATTAGTAGCTAAAACATTGGACAAAAACTAGTCAGTAAATAATACAAAAATTGTAACTGATTAATAATTAGATTTAGTTATTCATATAAGCTACAGATTATGCTAACAACCTTGTCTGGTCTCAAGACCTTGATAATCTTGTTAGCGGTACCAAATGATATGATCAGTTTTATTGCAATGGTTTTAAGGATCAGATAGCTAATTGTCAAAATCATAGTCTTTCCTGGTCTCAGAAAGGGTGGTGTATCAGTTACTTTGTCTAATTTTAGAAAAAAAGCTTCTTATATAGCCTATATATCATGCCTGGTCTCAGAGAAAGGAACTGTATCAGTTAAACTGCTTCATTACAGAAATATAGAAAGCTGCTGTGATTAAATGAAGGTTATTGCTGGGAAGAGCAAGGTTCTATTGCCTCAGTAAATTTACATAGGATTATTTTCATTGATTTGCAGGTGACTTCTTAAATTATGACATATTTAGTTTGCTCATTTTTAACTGAAAGCTCTTATGGACACAGAAGGCACAAAAGTCCATTGGAACTGCATCAGGAAGTTAACAGGTATGTTGTCAGAGGATTGTTTTGATTCCAGTTTGTTCACCCATTTTCCCCAAGAAAGAAAACCCGTTGGTGTTGATGGAGTTGTAGTTTGTGAACCTTTTCCCTCATGAAAACAACTGAGTGAGAGTTTGTGAGCTTTTGGGTTATAAGCCTTCATGATCTTCAAATCATAGTTAAATATCTTGTTAACGATACCAGGAGATATGTCTGGCTTTACTGTCATGGTTTTTTTTTGGCGAAAGGTTTTCTTGTCATAACCATAGCTTTCCCTTTGCAGATGAGAGCATTGCTGTGGATTGTTTTAGAGCGAGCGTAGTTTTGAAACCTGTTGCTCTTCTTTACACTTTAACGTGCGAATTTATTCACTTTAGTAGAGAACACTGAATGTACTCTGTTTTGAAATGTCGTTTCCATTGAATCTTTACATCACTCTACTAATATTCTTTATTGGAAACTGTAAAAACACCTGAAATATAAAAGTCCATGACAGCATTGCAGTGTCGAATGATCAGGGAATGAACGAAATAAGTTTGTGCTAAACCTGTCACACCGTGGCTCTACTGGTCACATCTACAGCGAAACGCCACTGCATTAGTATATATCTGTTTTGGTTATTCGAGCAAAGCTACTGTTGTATTTACAAAACTGGTTAGTATGTTATTATTTAGTTTATCTTGTGACTTAAAAAGCTACATAATGGGCTATCTATGCTC